TTTGAGAGTCAGGCACACAGGACCGAAAAGTTCTTTCTTTGAATTTTTCTCCAGGTCCAGATAAAACTCTGGTATATTGGGATTTTTTATTGCTACTTCGTGTTGTTTTCCTTTATAGCACATGGTAGGATGATTATTTCCAAATCTCTGGAACTAGAGGTTGCTAAATGACTTGTTTAACGTCAAACTTATTAACATCAGAGTAGATGAAGTCACAAAAGGGGAACAAGGGACACAAGGCTTGAAGAGACACGTCCAGACTCTGAGACCTTAGAACTAACTGAAGCTGTTCCCTATCCTAGAGCTTTCACTAACTAGTGTGTGCCCAAGTGTAATAATCGGAGAAGAGACTTCATTTGGTCTGGGTCTTCCTACATCAATTAGCCATCAAACAATCCCCCACTGACATTCCAGCAGGCCAATCTAATCTGGGCAATTGAGACCACAGTTCACCCTGCTGAACATAGGGATGATAATGAACAAAGTCTTTCCTGCTATGGCCACTGGGATTTGGGACTTTGCTGCTTTATAGCTAACATGGGCTCTTTTGAAATCTGAAGAGTGTTTCTTTGTTTTACATTTTTGAGATGGTTTCAGATGGAGGGAAGCAGTTTAAAATGGAAGGGTTGGAACTCATCAGTGATAACAGATATTTTTCTCAAGCTTTCCTCAGAAATTTTGTATTAAATAAAAATGAATGCTATTTGTAAAGCTAACATTATAATGTACACAAAGATATAAAATGCTTTTAAAATTATAAATCACTTTGCAAATATTAGTTAAAGTAATATTTATTTGTTATCTACAGTTGCATCCAAAGTGACATCTTTTCTTATTTTCGCAATGATAATATTTACTTGGCTCTCATAAAAGAAATATTTAATCACATGGATGTCTTACAATATTAGAGACAGCTTTCCTAAGTTATGCATTAAAATATACAAAGAGGGTCAAACTGCTATAAGGATCACATTGAAAGTGCACATATGTTCAACAGCTCACCCTCTTCTTGGAATGTGATGTTACAGTTTTCTAATGTCTATGTCTACACAACTGAGACGTTCACCTTAAATGCTTCTCAGTTATTATCTTGTTATTTATATTACAGGGGGATAGCATGCCTATAATACCATTAATACAGAATGGAGAGAATGGAGCAGGATCACTGTTCCACTTGAAGCAAGACAAGGCCACCATGGTCAATGCCTGCTGCTTCATCCCTTTACTCCTTTGGGCGCCAGGATGGGCAAAAGTACATAAATGCTCTAATTGCTGTATTCATGCCAAACCTGTTACAATGGAAGACTTTACATGTGAATAGGTTTAATATTTAGTTTATCATCTTTGAATGTGCTGTTATTAAAGCTTCCAGATGCACTGCCTGCAAAATTGAGAAATCAAGAGCCTATTTTTCAAGTGAAAATCCCAATTGTAAAGATTCTATTTTTAATGCCCTTAAAAAGCACTCTCAAACCGGCCATATAAAACTGTCAGTTAACCACTCAGAGAAGGTAAATCTTGCTCAGCACAGATGCTCTGTTAGGAAGAACATCTGTGCCACAGAATCTGTAGCTGTTATCTACAGTTCTAGCCTGCCTTAGTCTTGAAGGCTCAGCCTCTACTCATTCCTTCACCTGGTTATTGTTTCCTTCCCTTTTCTGTGGCCCTTTCTGGGAAGTTTAATTTGCACTCTTCCATGGCATCATGTGTAGTGAAGTTCACATACCAGGTAACTGTCCACACATTGACACAGTGAATGCATTTCTACAAATAAGTCAAGCCCAGATGCACTGTCTACAATAAGCATACAGAAGGAGTTCACATATACACTTCATCCTTTACGTGAGTTGGACTCATGATTCCTGAGACTACTTTGCTTGTCTATACTGTCCTTCATTCCTGAGAGAATTTGAAATCCTATCTTTCTAAGACTCTTTGGAGTTCAGGAAAGCATTTTTCCATTGTTTATGAAAGAGAAGCATCAATTCTTGTCTCAACAGATGTTCCTTCATTCTTAGCAAAGATTTAGTATTTGAAAGTATAATTCTTTTAAAGCCTTATAAAAGTAGCCTTCTTCTAGGAAAATGATCCGTATCTCAGTTTGCACTTGGTGAGGAATTCTTACAATGAAAATCTCTGAGATAAGAACAGGAAGATTTCAAAGAGAGTTGGGGCTGGGCAACTGCTGCAAAAGTACATCTTGTGTGGTTGTCAGGAGTCCTGGATCACCCAAACTGTGCAAATTCATATTGCTTTCCTGTCAGTGTAACTGGTAAAGGCTGTGGAGGTGTCCCTGCCCACACAGTAAAACAGTGTCCCATGGCTAGACTGTTCAGGTCATGAAGTCAGGAACTCAGCTGTATGGCCTGTAACTGAATCCTAAACAGGATGAAGTTACAGATCGCTGGCATGAGATTTAGTTGCTTTTCAGAGACATATAAATCAAAGTATCTATTAAAACCTACAGCTGTTGCCTTTAAGATAGACATGAATTCTTCATTTTGATAGTGTACTCTGCCATCCTATCAGGTTCAGTTTTTCAACGTCATTTTATGCTGAATTCTCCCTAAACTCTTATAGAGAGACAGAAACGACAGGGATGATGCTCAGCCCGCTCTTTCAAGGAATGAGTTTTTTTCAGAGCTGAACTCTTGGACCCTTGTCAGCACTAGGAAGGATTTATGATTTGTTGTCATTGTCTCTTCTCTCTTACACACATGTGATCACATGAGAAGTGAAGTAAGTTCAAATTAGGGTGGGACAAGAGGCTCCTAAGGACTTGTTTCCTTATCATTTTGTCTTCTGTTTACTTTTTCCAGTTCCAGGGTCAGCTCACAGGACTCTGGGGACTGTGGGTTGCACGAGGTTTTGATGTCCTAGGAATCAAGTCAAATGTAAATGAGTAATCTTGGCTCTGAGCAGCTCAGAGGGCACAGGTCAGGCCTGAAAGCTATTATGTGGAAAAAAAATCAGACACAAAATGAAGGAGAAAATATTGGAAACCTGCAAAATGTCAACACATACACACAAACACACACACACACACACACACACACACACACACCAAGTTATTCCTCTCATCCATATTGCCTCTCCCTTGCATAATCTCTTTTGTACATTCTGATTCTGAGGGTCTTTCTCTCCCCAGGGATCACATATGGCCTGACCTATTTGCTGCAACAAACACAGTGACATTTCAGTCATTACCTGACAGATTACAAACACTACTGATGCTTTTATCTATACGGAATAGATTCCAACTCAATGAATTCGACCCACTGACAGTCTTCAAAACTTTCAGTGAAGCAATAGACACAACTGATAACTATCAAACTGAACCATCTACCACCTCCCTTGTTCAAATAACCCAGGGAGGGGCTATTTCAGTGAGAACAGACAAGAGTTGTTGGTTAAGCTGTGTTAAGAAAGTCAGTGAAAGTTGAGTAAGAATAAAGAGATGCTTCCATATTAGGACATTCAGGGGAAAAGGGAAATTCCCCAAATAAGAAAAAAATGGGACAATGATAGTCAAATTTAGAGGCAGTCCTGAAAAGACTGGCTGATCTGAGCTGATCCTAGAGCTGAGACTAAACGAGAATGCCAAACTCTCCTCAAAGGTCAGCTATTGCCTGAAATCAACATTGTTATTCAGTCATAGCTGTGGCTTCCTAGGTGGGCTCTATTCCCGAAGGCTCACTGACATCCAGTGAAGCAATAACTGCTGGATCCAACTGGCCAAAGTAAATCACACTATCAGACTTCTGGGAATTTTATGATTGGGGAAGATTAGATATTCGATTAGTAATCATTCTAACATAACTGTATCTGTAACCTCCATGTAGAATTTACATGACTGTAAGAATATTTGTAGGCCTTTATGAACAATTTATATGAAGTGTAATGATTAAATGAGGCTAGTTTGCATTTCTATCTCCTCAAATATGAATAAATTTATATATTCTGGGGGCTTGTAGACTCTTCTTTATCTGTTGAATCAGAACACAGAATATTGTGGACTACAGTTGCAGTGATAGGCTACAGTACACCTTAGCTAATTCCTCTGATCTGGTTTTGTTTCCCTTATCTAACCTCTCTGTGTCCTTTTTCCCCTCTACTCTTCCTAGTCTCTATTAACCAATATTCCCCGATCTTCATCTACAAGACAATTTTTTTTAGTTTCCTCACATTGGTTAAATAATGTGTGTCCTTATGGACACCCCCATGGAGGGCCTTACCCTCCCTGGGAAATGAGGGGATATTGGGGGGATTGGTGGGAGGGCACAGGAGGAGGGGAGGGAAATGGAGAGGGACCTGGAATTGACATGTGAAGCAACCTTGTTTTTAATTTAAATTTAAATTTAAAAATAAAAAATACAAAAAAATAATGCGTGTCTTACTTGGGATTACTCTTGCTTGGATGAAAGAAACACCATGACCAAAAGCAAGTTAGAGAGAAAAAGGTTCCATTTTGCTTACACTACTATATCATTGTTCACCACTGAAAGGAGTCAGGACAGGATCTCAAACACGGCAGAAACCTGGAAACAGGGATAGAATCAGAGGCCATGGAGAAGTACTGCTTCCTGGCCTTTGTCTTATGGCTTGCTCAACATGCTTTGTTATAGAACCCAGGACTACCAGTCAGGGATTGCCCCATCCACAATGGTCTGTGTGTTCAGACATGAGTCACCAATTAATAAAATAACGTATAGGTTTGCTTATAGCCCAGTCTTACAGAGGCATATTTTAAATTGAGGTTCCCTCCTCTCAGATGACTTTATCTTGCATCAAGTTGACACAGCTAGCACAATGTGATATTTCTCCTTCTGTGCCTGGCTTATTTAACATAACAAAATCTCTTCCAATGCTGTAAAGTTTGGTAGACTAGAACAGGTTTTTGTTTGTTTGTTTGTTTGTTTAATGACCACACCACACTAGATAAAAGACAATCTTCAGATTCAATGCAATGCATATCATAATGTCAATGTCATTTTCCACAGAAATAAAAGAACCATAGAATTCATAGGAAACCACAAAATTCTCAGAATAACTACAACAGTTCTGAGTGAAAAATACAAGTTGGAGGCACTGTGGCAACTAAATGGTAAGATATTAAAAATTCCTCTTTGGATTAAGATATCAGTAGCTGAAATTCAGTGATTCTGTTCTAAGATAGCCAAAGATAGTTACCATACCAGAACAGACTTAGAAATTATGAGTAAAATTATCGTATTCTTTTAAGCACCAAATAAAGTCATAGCTGAACACTGAATGTAAGTAATCAAAATTCAAATTGAAGTACATTTCCCCGAATCATTCTATTGTCATGAATAAAGGTGTGACTTGTGTCTTTCTTAGATTTCTATTGCTGTGATAAACACCATGACCAAAAACAACTTAGGGAAGGAAGGGTTTATTTGATCCTACAGCTTGTAGTCCCTCATCTAGAGAAGACAGGGCAGGAACCTGGAAGTAACTGGCTTGCTCCCTAGGGCTTGCTCAGCCTGCTTTCTTATAGAATTTGGGACCAATAGCCCAGCAGTGACACCTTTGAGCTGAACCGTACCACATCGATAATCAAGAAAATGTACCAAAGCCTTGCCCTTAAGCAAATATTATAGGGGCATAATCTCAAATGTAGCTCCATCTTCATGTGTCAAGTTGATAAAAAAATTTATCAGCACAACCCACTTGCTGATATTTATCATAATGAGAAAAAACCCAGCTCATACACAGAATCAGTGAAGTACTGGCTGGTACCAGATGACAGGAGTTGCTCTGTGTGTGTGGTGTGTGTGTGTGTGTGTGTGTGTGTGTGTGTGTGTGTGTGTGTGTGTGCTGATCTTACACTGACAGCTTGAAATGGGCCTTAGTGAGAACATAGATGAATTAGTTTTATAATTAGGCCACAACATAATCTCTGGTAGGTTTAAAATACTCAAAATCAAAAACTGCACTTAATACACCTGTTAACTAGTCTAACCTTCCTTAAGGAGTTCAGGACATTTACATTTACCTTCAGTTTTGTAAAACCATCACACACAAAGTCTACTTTACAATAAACTATTGACTATATCATGTATTTTATTGAATGCTGTTCTGAAAATAAAATACAGAGTGGTCATACCAGCATGGTTTCACACCATTACACTTCTGGATTTTATATATGTATAACAAAGAAATTGAAATATTTCACATATCAGTTGTTCTAACTCTTCACCCTCTGCCTCCAACCACTTATTAAAAATTATCCTATCTTGGGGCATGGGGTTTTTCTTTCAGGAATATTAAGAAGAATTTTTAGAAATCACTTTTACCTATAATGAGCCATTTAATCAATGTATAGGTTCAACAAGAAATTGGTGCTATCAACAATATTCCAGTTCAGAAATAGGCATGGCACTGCATTACATTCTCCAGTGATTGACCCAAGACCTATTTGTTTACTGAGCAAGTGGCTGTCCCTTTAGATTCCACAGTCAGGAAGAGGGGACTATTCTTAAACTCAATTTCTCATGGATCTGAGGACACCCTGAGATCTCAGGTGGTCCAAGGCTGCCATTTATCAGAACTGCCCTTTAGGTATCTGGCACCTCAGGCAGGCTATCATGGGCAAAATGTTTATTCAGTTCATGAAAAGCTACCCCAGGCTTGCAGAGTTACTGAACTGGCTCCTTTGGCACTCAGTGTATCCAACCCTAGTGCTTCCAAACTCATTAGCGGAAGCTTTTCTCTGTGGAGAGGGTAAGTGGACATCATTCTGTGATAGCTCCCAATAAGCAAAAGAGATCAGTGTAGAGCCCTTTGGTAAAATAACAGAAAAAATGCATTCCAGTATTTGCCTGTATTGTATGATACGTTGGCGGGAGAGAGACAACATGTTTCTGTTCCCTCAAAATAATGATAACAAAGAATCTTCTTTTGCATAAAAACCAAGGTAATCTGGGCATTTGGTGTTATTTTAAGATAGTCTCATTTTCTATAAACAATAACCCTTTCCATAAATGTATACACTACAAATTCACATGTGAAAGGAAACCATCAAAGAGATTTGAATGTGAACATCTGCTCCTATATATGTGAAAGCTTAATTTCCAAAGAGGAAATGAAAAGAAAAGCATGCAAAACAAGCATATCTAAGTTTCTGGAGCCCAGCCATGAAATATTATTGAGATTAGACATGGGTGAAGCCGTGGTCATGCTGGTGATGAGAAACTGCGCCTGTCTAACCAGAAGTGAATCATAACATCTCCATGACGACAAGCAGGCAGACACCCAGTGCTATTTTCCTGTTCATAGCTACAGAATGAGAACCTCGATGGTGTATTGATTTTAACTTTGTGTGTATACGGGCTTATGCGACCATGTGGAGACAAGAGTTCAACATTAGTGTCTTCCTCTGCCACTCTCTAATTGAATGTAGAGTGAACAGATTTGGCTAGAATGGCTAAGCAGTGAACCCAACCACCATTAGGATCTCAGTGAGCTCAGGTGTATATCTCAGATGTATATATTCAGAGCAGCTGTTTGCATGGGCTCTGGGGATCTGAATGCAGGTCCTTGTACTGGTGCAGAAAACACAACCAAATGAATTCTCTCCCTACCCGACTCCAACTTTTTAAATTTTATTTTTAATATTATAATTATACTTCTTCCTTCCCTTTCCTCTATCCAAATCCTCTCATGCCCCTCCCTGCTCTCCTTAAGATAGATTCATGTTATCTTTTTACATTAAGTGTTGTTAAATACTTATATGTATATGTTTATACATATACATTGCTAAATACAACATGCTCAGTCTATATGATCTACTTTTGTGTGTTTTCAGATCTGGCCATTTGACACTGAATAACATATTGATGAGCTCTTCCCTAAGGTGAATATGATCAAAATACATGTACGAAACTGTCAAAGAACTAATTTTAAAAAGTATTAAAAGGGTGAAACATTGCATTAAGGGATATGATAAAGTATGGAGTTTCATGTCATAGTCATGATAGCATAAATTAGCACAGTTTTTCTCTTAAACAGTTTGGTTATACCTAAGAAGATCTTATCGGTGACTAATTCCTCTTCCCAATAATCTTTTATTAGAAACTGATCCTAGAAAAATCATTCTGACAGCAAACAAACAAACGACTTTCATTTTCCAGGCAAAAGGTGTGATTAAGTAAACCCTGATAAGATTAAGTAGATTGTTCCCATTAAATAATAACTTTGGTAGAGTAATTGAAGTCTTGGACATAACAACAATATTACATAAGGTTAAAAAATGCAAGTCTGAAGTTGCTTGTCCATCAGGAAGTGTGTCTGAGTGCTCACAGAATTTTCTGAAGGTAGTAGAGGGAAGCAGATGAGCTCACTCAAGAATGAAAGATCTCCCTTCCACTCAAGTTTTTCTGTGGTTATTAAATCTCATCAGGATTTGTTCTTTGTCAGTGCTATGTAGTGTGTGGGTAACTTCAAATACCATAACATGCCTTTTCATTATATGACAAATGCAGATCTCGTTGGTTTTGGTTTAATGTTTATTTTGGTTTTGAGGTGAAGTCTTTCTACGTAACTGAGGTGGCCTTCCATGTGCAACTCTCTTCAGTCCCTGAGTGTTGGGATCATGGGTTTGTGCCATCACACCCACTCAAACTTTATAGTTTGGTAATATATTTAAATTTTTTCCCGTTTTGTTTTCCTCTTTTTTCTAAGAGTTGTTCCCCTCAGTCTCTGATGTCACATAGATCTTTTCCCTTTCATCTATGAGTCTTCTATTTCCTTAGGATCAATTTATGTGTACGATTATAACTTTCCATGTGCATAACCAGTAACCTCAGCAATGTCTTGAAAAGTCTCTGCTGTTCTGCAAGATGAGTTCAGGTTGTCTTCTCGTGTAGTCTTGCTGTTCTATCGCTCTGGCCAAATTGTCTACCCTTGGGCCAGTGTTGAATTTTGCTGCTTTTTGCAGTGTTGTTGGTGTCCATGTTAAACTACTAAGTGCAGCTCTGTTGTGATTTTCCTCCACATATTTTCTTATTTGTTGGCCCTCTGAGCTACATACATTTTCTAATTAATTTAATAAAAAATTGTTGGGTTTCATTGTTTTGCATTTTTCATGTGTATATATGGTGTGTGTGTGTGTGTGTGTGTATTTGAATGTACATGTGTGAATATGAAGGCCTGAGCTTACTATCAGAAATCATCCTTAATATATCTCTTCCACATTATTTATTGAGGCAGGACCTCTCAATCCTCATCAATATTGAGGTTGTTAGACTTCCCTAGCCAGTTTGCTCTAGAGATCCACCTTTCAAAGACTGAATTACAGGTGGGCCACCACTCTCAGCTGGCATTTATATGGGTTATGGGGATTTAAATTCCAGGCTTCATATTTGTGTGGCAAGTGCTTTAGCCAAGGATCATGTCTCTAAACCCTGCTGAGAGTTTGTTTGAAACTATACATACAGTTTGGGGGCCAAATCTAAGAAAGCACTGTCCAGATTAAACACAGCTTTACAGCTTCACGTCTGTGCTTACATTTTCTTTTGTGGTATTAATTTTTAAAACATTTTTATTGAATTTTTGGGAATTTCATATGATGTACTCCATTCCTACTGATTTGCCAGCCCATACATATCCATCCTTCATCCTTGTAGCACCCCTCCCTAAAAAGAAAATAAAGATATAAAAATATTAATTTAAAAAATCCACTTTGGCCCTCCATCTTTCCTGCCTCTCCACCATATCCTTCATTCATCCTAGTGGCATTGGGAGCTATGGTGTTGTCTCACAGTGTACCCCTTTATCCAAATAGTTTCATTTCCAGTTTTCACTGTAATGAGTTGTTGGTCTGGTTCAAGACCTCTGGTTTTTGGTATACCATCAATTCTGGACCCTCATGCAAACTCCTCTCAGGTATCCTGCTTTTGCCTGGAGTCATAGAGATCCTGCAGATCTGGTTCCACAGTACCAGTCCCCTCAAATGTTTCAGTAGATGTTGGGGTGATTCAATTTAAAGCACTGGATGTGTGCCTGGGTGGTAGCAGGAGCCACAGACATCCACATAGTTCAACCTCTGCTAGTACTGCCCCTCTCAGATGAGGGGTAAAGCCAGCTCTCCTGCACTCATGCCATCTAGGTCAGCTCTCCTGCACCTGTGGTGAGGGGTGGGGCCAACTATCTGGAGTGGGGCAGGGCCAGATTTCCAGCTGCAGCAGTCAGCAGTGAGGGACAGAGCCAGCTTCCTAGGGCCAGTGAAGGGTGGGGCCAAGTCAGCATGGACCTTGAATTTCAACATGCATTCAACCATAGACATGACCCCAACTGCAGCAGGACCATGGACCTAGACAAGGCCCTCAGCAGCAGCTTGGGCCCAGATGTTACCACGATCAGGAGTGGCAGCACACTCAGAACTCAGATCAGTATGACCCCAGTGGCAGTATGACCTGCACTGTCACCTGGGACCATGATGACATCTGGATCTGGGCTTCTGAGGAGGACTATGTCTGGGTCCATAGGGTTCAACTAAAGCCAGGTCTGTGTTGATGTTTGTGCTGCCATCAAAGGCCACATGGGGGCATGGGGTCTGGGCCAACACCTGTGGCCATGTTGGTGTCTGAGGACCAACTATCTGAATGGCTTACACTGCCTGCCCCCCAGGGCCATGATGGTATCCAGGCCTGGCTGCTGCCAAGGGCCATGTCTGGGTCCATGACTCTACCACAGCCAGAGTTTTTGTGGATGTCCGTGGCTCCTGTTACCACCAAAGGTCATGTGGATACCTGGAGAATGCGCTACCATCTTAAGCCATGTTTGTGTTTATGTTTCCCATCCATTGTAAGCTGATTTCATTTAATGATGAGACCAATTTTATTCTTTTTATATGAGTAGGCACTTTAACAACGTTTATCAAGGACACTATCCTTTGCTGCTGTATGTGCTTGGATTCTTTGTCAAAATAAATTGACTGTAGACACATGTGTTTATTTCTGTGCTACCTTATTTTTTTGGCCAATTCTATCGTGTATCATTATCATATTATCTTTATTAATGCTTTTATGTTGAAATCACCTGGCTGGGTTTCTCCAGTTTCAATTATTGTATTCAAATTGCTTTGTCTGGTTATTGTCTTTTGTGATTCCATATGAGGTTTAGGATTCTTTTCTGATTTCTGCAGAAATACCATTGGAATTTTGATAGGGATAAAAATCTTTATAAAGAGAAGGGGAGATGGCATAGTGGGTAAAGTGTTTGATTCACAGGTGTGAGGATATGAGTTTGAATACCCAGAAACCATATAAAAGTTAAGCATAATGGCCCAAGCCTAACCCAAGCTAAGCCGGATGAAGATAGATAATTCTGGGGTTTTCTGACTAACCAGTTGAACAAAATGATGAGCTTGGACTTAATAAAAAAAGAACCCTCCCCAAAAAACATGGAGAGAAAATTCATGCAAGGCATACCATGTCAACCTCTTTCTTCCACATATACCCACATAGGAAAGGGCAGTCTTACCTGCACATATACATACACCACACACACACACACACACACACACACACACACACACACACATTAAAAGAAAGACTTTATATATGCTAAAATGTAAAGAAAATTGAGACTAAGGAGATAGCTCACTTGGAAAGGTATTTGCCTTACAAGCATGTGGACCTGTTTGAAACACAGAATCCATGTTTAAATGAATTTTAAAGCCAGGCATAGAAAGTCACAGACAAGACACACAATTGTAATCCAAGTACCGAGAAGACAAAGATAGGCAGATCCTTGGGGACTCACTGGCCAGTCAGCCTAGCCTACTTGGCAAATTCCAGATCAGTGAGACAAACTCTCTCTCAAAATAATAATAATAATAATAATAGTAATGATAATAATTCATTGATAAACAGAAACCAAAGTTGTTTTTTAGCTTCCACATATACCACTTGACTTTAATTACTTGTAGACATTTCTAACTCATGCACATGCACATACATAGAGAAAATTAATTCATTGATTAAAGACTTAAAATTGATGGTACAGGTTATAAAATATTGTATAAGACTCTTTTCCTTAAACAACCTTATAGCCACAAAGTTGGATAACCTAGGACAAAGGTACTAAGTCATGAAAACAACATACCAAGAATGAGTCATGAAGAAACTGGAAATCATAATGAAAATAGTAAGTAAGTTACTGAAATATCAATAAAAATATTACCCATCAAATATAAGCTTACTTATATGGTAGAGTCCCACTAGAGATTCAAAGGATAGATCTTCTCAAACTCTGACAAAAAGAAAGTGTACTTTCTATACATAAGTTCGTCTTATAGGTCAGAACTTTGCTATCAAAGATGTTATAAAGAAAGGATAATACAAACTTTGATGATACAGTAGTCCTCAACAAAATACTGACACACTAGGTATAATACTACATGGAAAAGATCAGTCACAAGATTAAGTAGTCCTTATTCCTGGTATGAAAGGTTTATTCAACAGAGGCAAAATAAGTAAAAGTATCCAAATTAACTGAATAAAGATGAAAACTCATAGGAGCAACCTAACACATACAGAAAAATTTTAAATGAAATTCAGAGTCCTTTTACAATAAAATTTTCTCCCTGTGAATTGCTTCATGCAGAGCAATGAGTGGAGAAGATCAGCTGACTTGATGACAACCAGGAAACAAAGAGATTGAGGGAGGAGTCACGGACAAAGCAAACCTTACAGTGAACACATCCCTTGGGACTTATTTTCTCTAACTAGGCTTGTGCCTTCCACATCTCCCAATAATAGTCTTCTAATAGGAATCCATTGGGTATTAATCTATTTATTGGTTTAGAGTGCCCAGGTACCAATTCATTTATCATATTAGAGTCCTCAAGAAACTAATTCCAATGATTGGATTCACCAACTGAGGACCAAAACCTTCAACACATGAGCTGGGGTGGAAGGCAGTTCATATCCACTTATCATGTCTACTTAACATTTCTATTCAACACAGTGATGAAAGTCCTAAGCTGAATAATTAAGCAAGAAAAAGAAAGAAGGCACCCGAATAGGAAAGGAAAAAGTGAAATTGCCTTACTTGCAGATGATCTGACTGTAATTACTTGTAGAAATTTCTCACTTCAATAAAAGCCTGGGGTAACTAAAAGCATGTTCAATAAAGATACAGAATACAATATCATCACACATGAGCAGCACCATTTCTACATGCTAACAGTAAACTATCTATGCACAAAAATTTGAAATAATTCCATTTGTAGTCACATCAAAAATAAAACTAAACAATTAAAAGTAAATTCAACCAAGAAGTTTATTTTCATGGTACATTGAAAATTACTTAATACTAGTGAAAGAAATTGAAGATGATACAAATAAATGGAATGGTATCCATGTTCTTGGATTTGAAAACCAAGGCTGTTAAAATGTCCACATCACTCAGACTGATATGTAGATGTTCTGCACTATTTATCACAGATGATATTTTGAGAGATACTTACTTATGGATTTTAGATCACCACATTCTTAGAATTGCAGCTTTAAATGTACTAGAGAAACGTTTTTAGTCATGGAATCATAAGGAAGTATTTGTTTCTTTAATCTATTTACTTTCTCAGTACTATGAAAAGATACCTGGAGAGTTATTGGCACATTTTTAGTAGTTCACCTTTATATTGACACCATCTGAGTTACCATGTCTATGGGAGGAAGTCTTCAATCAAGTCTTATAAGCAGGGCAATGCCAAGATTTTTCTTTCTCCTACAAGTTGACAGGCTGTAAAAATGAGGTTGTTCTGCAAATTTATTCATGATATCCAATGATCTACTTACCTCTCTGGGTTTCCATTCATTTAGTTTCTGGTGTTTGAGAATTTCATATATATTGCTACTCCATTGAGCATTTTTAAATAAATAAATATTGTATGTACTATATGTTATTTGTATTATGCATGTTAACATATCCATAATACTTATTTCCAAAGACAGGGCTAGGCAAAGTATCTGGTCAGTTTGCTATAAATAGACATCATTAATTGAGTTCT